CTTGTTCCCTCTGTCTCTCTCTTTCTCTCTGTCTCTTTCTCTCCTCTCTGTCTCTCTCTTTTTCTCACTCTGTATCTTTCTCTCTGTGTGTCTCTCATGCTCTGTCTCTCTGTCTCTCTCTGTATATTTGTCTCCCCCTCCCTGTCTCTCTCTCTCTCCCTCTCTCCCTCTCTGTCCCACCCAATTATATATATAAGCCTGAAATCTCAGCGTCCACCTGTGCTCCGCCTGCAGACAGCCTGCCAGGAGTGAAGCCAGCCCCAGGGAAGGTGGAGCTGAGCTACGGAGAAAGATTTCTGATGACATGGTTTGGGTTCTGGATCCAGCCCTATTTTCAGACCTCTTGGCCACATAAGCAAGTTGATTCGTCTTCTGAGTTGACTTTCTATCCCTAGCCAACCCAGCATGGCAGGAGTGACAGCAACCAGCCCCATGTGGCTACTGCAGCCCGGCCTCTGCCCACTGCACCCTGTGGATGCTGAGACTCTTGAATGCCCATCAGCAGGCCAATGGTGTCATCATAGAATGGAGTCCTTCTCTGCAATGAAAAGGAACAAAACCTACAGAAACACACAACAGTGCAGATGAGTCTTAAAATCACGTTGAAAGACACCGGGCACACAGCCCATACATTGCATGATTCCATTTAGAAAGTTCCAGCTGAAGCAGATCTGATCCATGCTGGCCAGTCCATGATTGCTGGGCCAGAGGAGGAGGATGACTGCCAAGGTGTATGAGGGAAGTTTTTGAACTGATGGAATGTTCCAGATCTTGATTGTGATAGTGGTTACATGAGTGTAAAACTCAACATTTGTTAAATAAAACTCGACAAACTTTACACTTAAAATCTGTGCATTTTTTTTGGTGTGTAAATTATACAACCACCAAGCTGACCCTGAGAGAGCATGCAGGACGAGGAGTTCACCTGATGAGACACCCCTGGCCAGAGACAGGATGATCTGAGCTGCAAAGACGATAATAATTGCAGTGGATTGAGACCTACCAAACACGTTTCGGTTCATGAATGCATAATGATACATATTTCTTTTAAATTCAAAGGCAGTCACCATTTATTAACTGACCTGATTACAAAAATAAGCATGTAGACCTGAGTTCACTCTGCTAGAAAGCCTGCTGGTCTGGTCTTCCCAGCTGCCAGCACCCCCACCTTCTACAAAACGAGTGGGCGTTTTCTTCATTTCACCTGGTGAGGAGAACTTCAGCCCACAGGAGGTAGTTTGCTTCTTTGAAGCGTTTTCCAGCAGCGTAGATCTGGTGAATCAGACCCTCCACGCAGACGATGCCGTATTGACCGGGAGCTCCAGCAGTGGAAGAGCACTCTTCAAGGCGGCCCGCTTCCTTTCGGTGTTGCTGGAGCCGTGCCCGGAGACCTGCTCCTCTACCGACTTCGTGTTCAGGCCCCCCACACAGTGCGGTGTCTGCTTCCACCGTCCCCCGCACGTTCACTGAAGCCTTGCTGAGATGAACAGAGGTGCCCTTGAAGACGCAGTAAAGGTGAACAAGCTGCAGGCCCACACCGGGGACCCCTCTGCTCCCGATGGCCAGGCCAGTCTGGGCTCCCAGGTACGTACAAGTTGCCTCTGTCCTAGTGCCGCAGCGACTCGGATTCCAGCTCTGGGCTCTGTATTCCTTGCGGTCGTGCAAAGCTTTCTCATAACTCAGCTTCCCCCTTGGCTTTCAAAGCATCTTTTTGGTAAAAACTCCTGTCTCAGGCACCTGATCTTCAGTTCTGTGAAATCCTTCACCGCTCCATAAGGGGCTTCTGGTGCAGCAAGAACCTTCTCTTCCCTTCGATGCCGTCCACAGTTCCCCCTGGAAAGGGGCATGCGCGCACAGTGGTATTGACCAAGCCAGCTCTCAGGAGGGCTTTGGGGACCCGGTGCATTTTCCTGAAGGCAGCGACTGTGGGAGAAGATTTGTGCCTTTATCCTGCTTCCTCTGGACAGTGGCACTGGGAATAAGACTGCTTGGAGGAGAAGAGTTTCCATAAAAGTATCCCAATAAATAAGTGAAAAAGAACTTCCAGACTCAGGACATCACCATCTTGCAACCTCGATGGATTAATGACTTGAGGCACAGAGCAAGCCTGGCCACCCTCCATGGCACCCTCCATACTTGCGTATTATTTTAAAATAAAACGGTTTTTATAAAATCATTCCAGGAGCGCACAGCCCTGACCTGTGTCCTCCTAATGGGGGGACACAACAGAACCTGGGGTCCTGGGGCAGGGATGCAGCCTGAGTGGGAGGAGTCTCTGGGTCCAGCCACCAGCGCACAAGAATCTCAGAGGACAGAGGAACAGGCAGAACTGCACCAAGAGGGCGCCACCAGCAATCCTGATGCAGGACACACCTCAGGCCAAACGACCTGGTCCTTCAGCAGACACATTATTGACAAAAAAAAAAGAGTGACAGGAGGGACCTAAAGACTGAAACAGACTTGAAACATTTTTAAAATCAAGCTGTTATAAAAAGTTAGGCAAAGCCGGCAGGGTGTCGTGGCTCACACCTGGAATCCCAGCACTTTGGGAAGCCAAGGTGGGTGGATCACCTGAGCCTGGGAGTTCAAGACCAGCCTGGTCAACATGGTGAACCCTGTCTCTACTAAAAATACACAAATTAGCCAGGTGTGCTGGCCCACGCCTGTAATCCCAGCTACTCGGGAGGCTGAGGCATGAGGATCACTTGAACCTGGGAGGTGGAGGTTCCAGTAAGCTGGGATTACGCCACTGCACTCCAGCCTGGGTGATGGACTGACAGTGTATCTCAAAAAAAAAAAAAAAAAAAAAAATTTAGGCAAAGCTACATCATAGTATTTAGAGGGGAAAAAAAAACACAAGGAAGTGATTCCTACAAACGAAGGGCACTGGTTCCTTTTGGGCGGGGGCGAGGCCGTAGAGGCATCTGGAGGAGACGGTGCAAGTCCAGGTTTTGGCATGGAGCTGTTCCACAGGGTAACTGATGAAGCCGTGTGTCTGCTTTGAGGGGCACCCTCCATACTTGCATATTATTTTAAAATAAAACGGTTTTTATAAAATCATCCAGAGTGTGGCTCCTGCCCCAGAGCCGGGACGCTCAGCACAGGGGCCTCTGGGGCAGGGGTTACCAGCCAGGCACAGCATTTCCACACCCTGGCTGGGATACGGCCTCCTCTCCTCACTGGCGGGGTGACTTGCGTGTGGCCACCTGTGCCTCAGTCTCCCCATCTGCAGAGTGGAGAAAACAGCAGGACCTGCCCGTCTGGCTGCTTGGGGAAGGGCAGACTTCAGGTGAACTTGGAGCCATGGCTGGCTCGCATTGCTGCTGGTTCGTGGAACAAATGGGGCAGGTTTGGGTCTGACCTGTCCCCACACCCCCAGCTCCCAGCACAGTGTGGCTGGGCGCAGACACCCAGCGGGCATCAGTAGTATGGACGTCACTCAACTCGGCCCTGCCAGCATGCTGAGTGCAGCCCGGTCTCCACATTGTTGTAAACAAATGACAATCAAGATGAGCTCAAAAGACAAAGGAAGATGCTCCCTGCACCCCCCAGGAGGGCTCTTCTTCACTTTAGGGAGACCCCAAATTCCCACAGTCCCTGCCTTCTCATGGGCCCTGCCTTCTCATAGGCCCCGCCTTCTCATAGGCCCCGCCTTCTCATAAGAAGAGCTGTCTTCCCACAGGCCCCGCCTCCCCACAAGCCCCACCTCCCCACAGGCCCTGCCTTCTCACAGGCCCCGCCTCCCCACAAGCCCCACCTCCTGCCTCCCCACAAGCCCCACCTCCCCACAGGCCCCGCCTTCTCACAGGCCTCACCTCCTCACAGGCCCCGCCTCCCCACAGGCCTCACCTCCTCACAGGCCCCGTCTCCCCACAGGCCCCACCTCCTCACAGGCCCCGCCTCCCCACAGGCCCCACCTTCTCACAGGCCCCACCTCCCCCACAGACCCCACCTCCCCACAGACCCCACCTCCCCACAGGCCCCATCTCCCGGCAGGCCCCACCCCACCTCCTGTCTACAGGAACTTCCACAGGGTCTCATTGAGGTGCCAGGGCAGAGGGGTGGTGAGAGGCCATGGCTTTGGGGAGGGGAATATAGAGGGAGGGGGAGAGGAAGGGGGAAGTACAGGGTTCACCTGGGAAAGCCCAAACAAGCCCCCATGTGACTGCCTCATTCTGAGCTTCTCGAGGAAGCTCCCTCAGCCACCTCCCACCCTTCCCCCTGCCCCACCTCAGGGACCCAACCCTCTCCCTCACTCAGCCTCCCTTGTCTGCCTCAGCTCGCACCCAGCCCCTTCTCCAAACTGCCTGCATCCGCTGCCAGAACCCTCTGTTGGCCCCTAATCCTACTGACGGGCGGTTTCACCTGCCACAAGGCATTAGGCGTCTGCGCGATTGTGTGGTAGGATGGGAACGTGTGTGCATGTGAGTGTGTGCTCATGTGTGCCTATGTGTGTGTGTTGTGCATGTGTGGGTGTGTGCATACGTATGTGTGTGCACAGTGTGTGCCTGTGTGTATGCATGTGTGCTCATGTATACATACATGAGTGTCTGCATTGCTTTGTCTATCTGTGAGGAAGTGTGCATACATGTGCATATATGTGTGTGTGGAGGAGTGTGCCTGCATGTCCGTGTGTGGGAATGTACAGGTAAGTGCATGTGTAAGCATCTGTGCGGGTGTGCACGTGTGTGCCTGTGTGTGCATTGTGCATGTGTGCATTGTGTATGTGTGCCTGTGTGAGAATGTGCATGTGCCTCTGTGTGTGTTTGCACAAGTGTGGGTGTGCGTGCATGTGAGCCTGTGCCCGTGTATGGGGTGTGTATGTGCTTGTGTGTGTTTCCCCGGCTGTAAGCGCTGGGCATTGGACTGAGCCAGAGGGGCACTGACGAGAAGGAGAAGCACATGCCGACGCCACATTCTGAAGTCTTTGTCTGACACTGGAGGGATCTCCTCCAGAACGCACTGGGGAGCTGGGGAGGATAAACAAGGTCTGCAACAGAATGAACAATGCATCTTTATTAAGGGTGGGCCTGGATGCCCGTTCAGGGGCCACTGGTGGCACAGGTGCCAGGTGGAGCCCCTTCAGCCACAGCGGAGGAGGTGTTCCCAGCTGCACAGACTGGCACCACCTCCAGCCCTGGTTAGGACAGATGCACTGAACTTCCCCAACAGCTGTTGTCCTTCACACACTGGGGCACTGTGGGGCTGGGGCTGGGAGAATGTCTCAGCATTGTCAAAGAGAAGAATTGTCTTTCAAATGAGCATTTTCCTTTTCTTTGTGAGTAATGGACATTTCAGGGCTGACCTATAGGAAAGAAACACCCAGGGTGGGAGCCAGGACCAGACTTCAGTCCTAGAGCACCAGCCCCACCCCCCGCACACTGGGACGAGTGGACACGACGTGGGGAAGCAGGAGACGGAGTGGCCAGGGTGGGAGAAGGGTCTCTTTTCTAAGGGCTCAAGATCCAGGACTGAAACACACAAACCCAGGCTGTCGGCCCAGGGGTCCTGGGGAGGGCGTGTGGGTGTTCCCACTGGAGGCAGCAGAGCAGGGATCTGGAATCCTTGGTGCAACACAGATCATTGCTCCTTGTCTTCAAGAGTTTCCAAAGCTTCCAGATCACAGCTTATTCCTGAAACTTAGGAAGCTGCACTGGCTCTTCTGCCTGGGACCCCACCTCCTGTGCAGGCCCCCTCAGAGGCTTGTCTGCACCCTGCACCCATTCTCTGGCTTCCTCCACAAATACACCTGGAGGAAGTCCCAGGCCAGGCACACGGGAGCAAGAGGCTGGGAGGGACAACCGCAACAAGCAACCCCGCAGCCCAGCGCTCGGAGGCCCGTGTGCCCTGCTGCAGACCAGAGGCTGCCCGGTCAGCAGGACCTGAGGAGGGACAGGGCACTGGGGTGGGAGACGGTCAGCGCCTGAGCAAGCTACTGAAAAGAGGGAAGCAGGGACCTGCAGAGGGACGGGAGCCACGGCAGGAGCGGCAGGTGTGGTGGGCACGGCGGGGGCAGCAGGTGTGGTGGGCGCAGGGGGTGCGGTGGGTGCAGCAGGTGTGGTGGGCGCAGGGGGTGCGGTGGGTGCAGCAGGTGCGGTGTGTGACCCACAGGAGGCTGCTCAGGGCTTCGCCTCCATCGCATGCTCAGGAGGAAGGAAGTCAGGACGTTTTTGGTGATGCCACGGGACCGCACGCATGTCAGAGCCAGCAGAATTTGGAGAACGTTGTGCCCAGGGCTCAGCACACGAGCGTTTGTGGACAGCAGTGAGGTTGCTCACGCTGGTCATGGATGGCGCGTTGGCACTGCATTGACCCCAGGACCTCGGGCAGAAAGGTGGACAGAGCCACTGATGATACAGGAGGGGGCCCCAGGCACTGCTCTGCAGAAACGGCTGTTTATCAGCCCAGTGGCCGCTGTCTTAGTGTATGTGGTGGGAGGTGGGAAGGGGATAAACTGAGCTACATACGGAATAAAAAGACTGGAAGGAAGTGCCTGGCATCTCACCAGGGGCTGCCGGGGGTGGCAGAATTTAACTTTCTTTCTGCTTGTTTGTGGTCAACACCACTTTCTCCCAGAATGAGGAGATGCACACACAGAGACTACGTCACTTCATCCCATGACATCTGGGAAACTGCACACACCTCTCACCCTCCACCCAAGGCTGCAGGGAGAGGGGAGATTCCACAAGGACCCACTGCAGCCAACAGGGTCCCGAGTGTGATGGCAGCTGCTAGAGTATGGAGGAGAGAGACCCACTGCTGAGAGGCCCAGGGGCTTCCCGGAAGGAGCTGGTCCGCTGAGGGGTAGGGAGCAGAGGGAGGGGACCTGAGCAAGGTGTACACAGGGCAGGTGCGGAGCCAGCAGGCATCAAGGGGACCAGGTTGGTGTGGCTTGTTCATAAGACTCACCAAATGCACTCGGTAAAAATTCAGGTTCCCAGGCCCTTGCTCTGGAGGCTCTGACTGGGGTAGGGGTGGGATACGGGGCCTGGAATCTGCATTTCTAATGAGCTCTTGGACTTTTCTTACAGTGATACAGGACCCAGGACCTGCAGATTCTCGGCTGAGGTTGGGATGGGCCAAATCCTGTCACCTTTGCACCTGGCAGGGAGAGGCTTTCCCACAGCACTGGACCCTCAGACCCATCCTCTCGCTCACCGAGCTGGCAATGTCCACTGCTCACTCAGATCCACATTCTCACCCCTCCCAGGGAGATGAAAAGACAGATGGCAGAGCCCCAGGAGACATAAAGCCCCTTCCCCAGCATTGGCCCCCCTTCCGCTGCCCCCTCTCCCCTTGAGCCCCCTAAGGCAAGATGCTGCACGGACCCCCACGCAGCTAACACACAGCAAAGCATGGAGACCAGGTGCAGGGGCTGCAGGCAGCAGCCCTCCAAACTCAGGGTCCCAAACTCAGCCTGGCCAAGTCCAGCCAAGGGCTGCTCATTCCTGAGTGGAAGACACAGCCCTAGGGCAGACAGGGATGTGCTCCCATCCTGCTCCAGGCTCGCCCAGGGCTGGCTGTGTGACTGTGGTGAGCTCCTCGCCCTCTCTGATGCCCAGGCACTCCGTAGCATGCCCAGCCTGGCAGAGATGGCTCCTGTGCACCCCAACCCGGGGTTGCTAGGATCCTGGGATCCGAAACTGCGGCCCTCCAGTGGGCTGTGTCCCTGTCCCTGACCCCACTTCCTTGACCTTGGGGAGTAGCCTTGGCTTGGCTGGGCCCTGTTCCCAGTGGACACCTACTCCAGAGATGGGCACCTGCTGGGGGCAAGTTCAGCCCAAAGCCACGAGGCTGCAGGGGGTGCAGGATGAGACATGAGATAGCACCACCCCAAACCTGGAGGCTCCAGGCTCTGCCCTGCCCCAGCTGCCTCCTCCTGGTTTTTCTCTCCTGCTGGGCAGGCTGGGGCTGTTCATACTGGTCCCACCGCTGTGAACACTAGGGCTGCACTGGGGCCTCCACCTGTGCACTGACTAAACATGCAGCAAGCAGCTGGGAAGAGCAGTGGCCGCCCTCGGTGCCCCTGTGTCCCGGTCCTGTGCGCACAGTGCCTGCTGCTCATTTATCCTCTTAATCTAGCTGGAGGTGGCAGCTGCAACCAGGGCCAAATCTCCCTGCCACCTGCTTTCAGACAGCCCCTGAGAGCTCAGGACAGCATTCACCTTTTTAACAACTGGGAGGAAAAAATCAAAAGACCCATTTAATGCCCCCCGAACATGATACGGTATTCAAATTCCAGCGTCTGCCAATACAGTTTCACTGGGACACCCAGCCGTGGTCATGCGTTGCCTGGGGCTGCTGAGGGTCAGAGCCCATACGGCCCCTCGTGCGCAGCCCGCCAGGCATGGGAGCTGCTTCCAAGTGTGCCCTCGTCTCCACCCACATGCCCTGTCTGTCCACACTGTGCGTGGCCTGGTGCGGGGCTGCACTGTGATTTCACCGGACAAGGCCCCATCCTGGGGATGGCAAGGCAGGTGCGGTGGTTTTAGGGGGGTAGGCCAGGTAACAGCCACAGTGTCCTACAGTCATCTGGAGCTGACGTCCTGACCGCGGTGGAGAACCGGGGATGGTCTCAGCCTCATCTCATCCTTTAATTTACCGGAGAGACGGGAGGCCCGGAGCAGGGAGGCCGGGCTCTCAGCTGGCTGGGATGGAGCCTGCGTGCCCCTCCGTTCCTGCCGCCCTCCCCAGTACCCCGAGGCCCTGCCTGGCAGGGCAGCTCCCGCGCAGCTGTGGGCTTTCTGCAGCTGTGCCACTGCCCTCAGCAGGCGTCAGTGACAGAGGGTCAGGCTGGCGGGGCCATGGGTGGCGAGGAAGGGCCAGGCGGGCAACAGGGAGCAGGCATCGCTGTTCACGGCCGGCGTGGTGACCGACAGGAGCCCCAGGCTGCACTGGAAGGGACTCCAACGGCTCCAGCCTTCCCTGGCAGGTGCTGGGTCAACAGCAGACACTGTTCTTGGCGTGATGTTTGCACAAAACCCTCCCACAGGCCCAGGGGTGGTTCCCTGAGTCCTCACCCGGGTGATGTATTTGACACAGGACCTCAAGCTGTTGCACCCTGGCCACCTCCCCAGCCTCCTCCCCACCCTTCAGGTAGGAGAGAAGGTTGGGGGCAGGCCGACCAGGTCCTCGGCTGGGTGGATGTCCAAAGTCTCCCCTCCAGGACAGGACCAGGCCTCACCCGATGGACAGATGTCCCTGGCAGGAGACCCCAGTGGAGGACAGTGCCTGGCATCACACAGCTTGGGGTTGGTGGGGTTGGGGTCAGGCCACCCTGAAAGGCACAGCCATACCCAGGCCACCCGGCTGCCCCCTGTAAAGGGCTCAGCAGTGGAAGCCCCTGGAGGCTTCCAGGAGGCGGCTCCTGGATAGGAACCCCAGCAGGGGCGGACCACTCTGCCCTCCACTTAGAGAGGCTCGAATAAAGGCCAAGGCCACAGCCCTTCAGGAGCAGAGCCCGTGGATCCCACACACTCTGGTTTTCAAACTCCAGCCCCACCCCTGTGCTGAAGACAGGGCTGCCGTCCACTACCCCAGCCTCTCGGCCTCTCCCACTGTCTGGGGACATAGTGACTCTGTGTGAAGACGGGTGGTAACACCGTGCCAGGGTTAGGGTTAAGCTGACCCTGGGAATTAGAGGCACTAAGGCTGGGCAGGGTGTGAGGAGGGAGCCGTGACTTCCTGAGCCAGGGCCAGGGGAGCCACTGTCCTCAGACCCAGTCTTCTGCCTGTCCGTCAGTCCATGGGGTATCTGCCCCTCTGCCCACCACACCCCTTCCCTCTGCTCACCACACCCCTTCCCTCTGCTCACCACACCCCTTCCCTCTGCTCACCACACCCCTTCCCTCTGCTCATCCTTCCCAGAGTCCTGACCCTCGGTCTCACCGGCCCTGGGACTGGCAGCTGGTGGCCCCTGAGGGGAGGCCCCGCCTCTGCTACTCTGGGTAGAAGTCAGGGGTCACTTCTGATAGGCCCTGGAACCCCAGGCCTAGAGATGCCCAGCAGGAGCCCCCGTGCCTGCCCAGGCCTCAGATCTGCCAGCGCCCAGCAGCCTGAGCCCCTTCATGCCAGCCCCTGCCCAGAGAAGGGCACGTGGTCAGGGACCCCCCACCCCGAGCAGGTCCTGGGGGCTGCTCAGCCTGCAGCCTCCCTTGCAGATCTCCGCTCGCTACAGCTGTGCCTGTCGGTAACCCGCCTTCCCTGCACGTAGGCGTCACTACCTCCCCCCAGAGGGTAGGGAGATGGGGAGCCCTGGGGGCCCCCAGCAACCTTCACAGGCACCTCCCCAGCCATGGGCCATGA